TTGACATGTATTTTTGTCATCCTTCCTGTCATAGCATTTGCTCTCAGGAAATGAGTCGTGATTTAGCAGGTGAAGTGGAAAAGCTGCTCAAGTCCACAAATTCCTACCTAAGGAAAAAAGTAAGTGTAGATTGAGTCTGCTATGTCTAAAGTTGATCTTCCCCTCGACGTACCGGCAGTTGAAAAAGAACTTAAGCAAGCTCATCAACATGTGCAGCTAACCAGTGCACCTTGAAAATTTTCTCAGCTCTTTTGTTTGGTAGTGAAATTTGAGCTGGTGGAAAGCTCCTTTTCACCTGGTAAAATTAGCCAGTGGGTGGGTCTTAGCTACAGGTACATGTACAACTTTGTTTCCCTCCTCATGATCTGGCAGGTTGAGATACCAATTTGTCTGTATCCATTCATACACATGGGTGGAGAGAGGCACTGTTAGAGTATTTAAGGGCCCATTAACCAATACATGCGCTCACTCGCACGGGTTTCTAAGGGGGTGAAATTTCATTCCGGTTACTTGCCTTTGCCTGAGCAAGAAACTGATTCAAACAGTTCGGTAGTGTGCAAATTTGGCTACGTATTACATGTTTTTCCTTTGTGTTTCACACAATGCCACATAAAAAAGTACAAGCAGAAGCAAAATAAGAGAATAACAGAAAAACAAGTGCAAAAGAAAAAGAAAACTATCTTTGTGTGGCTTTTGTGTGATCTTATCAAAGTGCCACTGGTAGAGAACTGCACAAGCGCCGATAGGATAACTTTGGAAACCCTTCCAGTTTCTTTTAAATGTTAAAGGAAATGTGTTTTTTTTTTTTAATCCAGCTTTTTTTGATGAGTTACGATTTATGCCAAGGCTGGAAATATAGCTGCACATTCCTTTTGTGAAATTTTTGCCTTTTTCAGAAAATTATGAATTTTTCTATATTTTGAAATCCCAAAATCGGACCTTTTAGAAATGAAACAAAATCTATGCATAGCATAATGAAGATTAACATTAAATCAATGAAAAAAACTCTGATTAAGTGATATGCCTGGGAGCCTTTACATTTTTTCTGGAATTAATCACATGACCATGGGCATGACCTGATGTCATCATCACTGGTGTTACTGATCATGAAAAAGTTAAACACAAGAAATAGCTCTGAACTACAATGTAGCTAAAAATGATGAGGTTATATGAAAATGAATTTTCCTTAGCAATGGCTCAAAAAGGTCAGTTAATGGGCCCTTAAATTGTAATTCCCGAGAACACGATGCAGTGACTCGAACCAGGGTTCAAACGTAGATGACCCTAACACAAACCATTAGGCCTTGTTGTTGCCTATGTAAAGGTGCAATGTCTTCAGTCAGTGTTCATTTGCAGAACATATGTACCTTTTAAAGTGGAAATTGTTTGTAATCCATAAATTTTGAGTTTGTACATTCTATAATGTTTTCCCTTTACCTTTCAGGCTGCACTTTGTGCTGTGAGAATTGTCCGAAAAGTACCTGAACTTATGGAAGTGTTTGTTCCTACAACAAGATCTCTTTTGAATGAAAGAAATCATGGTTAGTTCTTACACATTTGAGATTTGAATTGAAAACAGTTGGAGAGTTTAAGACAAAGTATAACTATGG